TCTGATCAATGTAGTTGTTCTGTCATTTCGTTCATAAGTGTGTTTCCATCTCTTGTGGCAATTAGAATGGGTTCTGAGTTGCTTCTTACTTTGGTAGCTTCTCGAGGATCTGGTAAACACCCTCAACTAATGCCTTCGACGCCAAGATGGGCGGTTGCTAATGGAGCTGGTGTCATACTGAGTGTTTGTGATGATGAAGTTGCTCGATATGAGACTGCTACGCTAACGGCGGTTGCTGTCCCTGCTCTTCTTCTTCCCCCGCCAACGACATCCTTAGATGAACATTTAGTTGCTGGTCTTCCAGCTCTTGAGCCATATGCACGTTTGTTTCATAGGTAGCGTTTCTGAACGCACCTTTTGGATTGAGGTTTATTGTTAGCAGTCTGTTGCTTGTTTTAAGGTTGTGCTTCCTTCAGAACTGCATCTCACTTTCCTATTTTACTGTCAGATATTATGCCATTGCAACTCCAAGTGCTACTCAGAGACTTCTTCTTGGACTCTTGGAAGCACCGCCGTCGTGGGCTCCAGATGCACTTGATGCTGCTGTACAGCTTGTGGAACTCCTTCGAGCTGCTGAAGATTATGCATCTGGTGTAAGGGTAAGCGTAATTATTTGAATCCTTTAAATCTCTCCAGAACGCTGATCGTGTCCCTTGTTGGACACTATGAGATTTGTTGGCTTACAATATGTGGGAGCCTTTGAAACTTCAACAGCGGATAGCATTGAGTCCTAAAAAAAATCAGCTTTGATATGTCATCAAAAGAATCATCATTGATCACACTCTCTTTCTTGATGTAGCTACCCAGGAACTGGATGCATTTGCACTTTTTGCGTGCAATAGGAATTGCTATGTCTATGAGGGCAGGTGTTGCTGCTGATGCTGCAGCCGCTTTGCTTTTCCGCATACTCTCACAGCCAGCACTGCTTTTTCCTCCGCTATGCCAAGTTGAGGGAGTAGAAATTCAGCACGCGCCTATTGGTGGCTACAGTTCAAATTACAGAAAGCAGGCATGGTTACTATTTTTTTGTTTTGTTTTTGATGTTCTACCAACTTATCCCTGATATGAAAATTATAGTGAGACTGACTAATAACAGAACCCTATATTCCTCACCAGATAGAAGTTCCTGCAGCAGAAGCAACCATTGAAGCCACTGCTCAAGGAATTGCCTCAATGCTCTGTGCTCATGGTCCTGAAGTCGAGTGGAGAATTTGCACTATATGGGAAGCTGCCTATGGATTGATCCCTTTAAATTCTTCAGCGGTTGATCTTCCCGAAATAATAGTTGCTACCCCTCTGCAACCTCCTATATTGTCATGGAATCTATACATTCCACTCCTCAAAGTACTTGAATATCTTCCACGGGGGAGTCCTTCGGAAGCATGTTTGATGAAAATATTTGTTGCCACCGTGGAAACAATCCTCAGTAGAACTTTTCCTCCAGAATCTTCCAGGGAACATGTCAGGAAAGCTAGATCGAGTTTTACCACAAGATCAGCGACCAAAAACCTTGCTATGGCTGAGCTTCGTGCTATGGTCCATGCTCTATTTTTAGAATCATGCGCTGGTGTGGAGATAGCTTCGCGACTACTTTTTGTTGTGTTGACTGTATGTGTTAGCCATGAAGCACAGTCTTGTGGGAGCAAGAGACCGAGAAGCGAATATGCTAGTACTGCCGAGGAGAATCAATCTGTATCTGACAATCAAACTACTAACCGTAAAAGTAGAAATGTCAAGGGACAGGGACCTGTGGCAGCATTTGATTCATACGTTCTTGCTGCTGTTTGTGCTCTTGCCTGTGAGGTTCAGCTGTATCCTATGATCTCGGGAGGGGGAAATTTTTCCAATTCTGCAGTGGCTGGAACTATTACAAAGCCTGTAAAGATAAATGGGTCATCTAACCAGTATGGAGCTGGGATTGACTCGGCAGTTAATCATACACGCCGAATCTTGGCAATTCTAGAGGCACTCTTTTCATTGAAACCATCTTCTGTGGGGACTCCATGGAGTTACAGTTCTAGTGAGATAGTTGCTGCGGCCATGGTTGCAGCTCATATCTCCGAACTGTTCAGACGTTCAAAGGCCTTGACGCATGCGCTGTCTGGGTTGATGAGATGTAAGTGGGACAAGGAAATTCATAGAAGAGCATCGTCATTGTATACCCTCATTGATGTTCACAGCAAAGTTGTTGCATCCATTGTCGACAAAGCTGAACCTTTAGAAGCCTACCTTAAGAATGCACCGGTTCAGAAGGATTCTCTGGCCTGTCTAAACTGGAAACAACAGAACACATGTGCAAGCACCACAGGCTTTGGTACAGCGGTGACATCCACGTCACGTAGTGAAATGACTCCAAGAGGCAATCATAAGTATGCTAGACATTCAGATGAAGGCTCAGGGACTAGACACTCAGAGAAGGGTATCAAAGATTTCCTTTTAGATGCTTCCGATCTAGCGAATTTCCTCACAGCTGATAGGCTCGCAGGGTTTTATTGTGGTACACAAGTTCTTTTGAGGTCAGTACTTGCAGAGAAACCGGAGCTTTCTTTCTCCGTTGTTTCACTGTTATGGCACAAACTGATTGCTGCTCCTGAAATCCAGCCGACCGCGGAAAGCACCTCTGCTCAACAAGGGTGGAGACAGGTAAACCTCAGCATCTCTATTTCCCAGCTCGATTGCAGTTTCCTTGATGTTCATGAATCCAAGCTATCAAGGGGTTCATTTACTGATCATAATATTTCATATATCAGGTAGTTGATGCACTATGCAATGTCGTATCTGCAACGCCAGCAAAAGCAGCTGCTGCAGTTGTTCTTCAGGTCCAAATTTCTCTCGACTTTACTTATTTATTTAATTTGTCAGGAATACCACACCTTTGTAAAGATTAAGAATAATTAATCAACTGGATAGAACCTATGGCTTATGTACACGTTGGTTCGATCTCTCATGTATAGTAAATTTTAAGAAAAGTAAGCCGAGAAGTTTTGTGCAGCACTTATTTTGATATATATCACGGATGGGAAATAAAGTAATAAAATTTGAAGTATGAAAATGATTATGGCTTGTCTAGCAATGGGATTTGTTTCGAGCTTATATATTGAAGAAATTACTTTTAATGTTCTAGTATCTTGAATGATTGTATACAGGCTGAAAGAGAGTTGCAGCCTTGGATCGCCAAAGATGATGAAGAAGGTCAGAAAATGTGGAAAATCAACCAGCGGATAGTCAAAGTGATGGTGGAGCTCATGCGGAATCATGACAGGCCAGAGTCACTGGTGATTTTGGCAAGTGCATCAGATCTTCTTCTGCGGGCAACTGATGGAATGCTTGTTGATGGAGAAGCTTGTACATTGCCTCAACTTGAGGTACCTGCTACTAGGCTCTGCTATAATTTGCTCTCTAAAATGCTCTTCCTTCGGGCTAGGCTGACAAAAAATTAATAATGTTTTCTGATTCCGCTGTGTTCCAAAACCTTTCGCAGCTACTTGAAGCCACGGCAAGAGCAATACAGCCGGTGCTAGCTTGGGGGCCATCTGGACTAGCAGTGGTGGACGGTTTATCCAATCTACTGAAGGTAAGCAAGAGTCAGAACAGAGCCTAAGGTTTCTTTCTTGTGTCACATTGTACATATGATCATCAGTACAAGTCAAAGTGTCCAAACCAACTCTGACGTGTACAACCTACATCTGGTTTGCCTCAAATGCAGTGTCGTCTACCGGCAACAATACGGTGCCTATCGCACCCAAGTGCACACGTACGTGCCTTGAGCACATCAGTACTACGCGACATCATGAACCAAAGCTCCGTAACCATCACGGTAACTCCAAAGCAGCGGCCAGCAACAGAGAAGAACGTAATGCACAGCCCGTCCTATCGGTTCTTCAACGCGGCGACAATAGACTGGAAAGCAGATATACAGAAATGTTTGAACTGGGAAGCTCACAGCTTGCTTTCCACAACTATGCCTACTCAGTTTCTTGACACTGCGGCTCGAGAACTAGGCTGTACCATATCCTTGTCGTCCCAATAACGAGCGCCTCTTTTTTTTTTTTTTTCTATGGTTATTTTAGTTTCTTTAGACAAAAAGAAAGATTTGGATGTAGACCAAAAGAAGATTATATACCTTTGTATGTAATGTGTATGATGAGTGACTGACGCAATCACTCCCACCGTCGTTGGATTTGCTGCCGGCTCGGGTCTTATATAACTTAACCTCTCTCTTCTTTGTACATTTTCAAATGACGAAGCAGAACTACTTTTTTTTCTTCCAAATTCCAGGTACATATAGGAACTAACCATTGTCGTCGTCATGATCATGTTTCCTCGTAATCTTGGAAAATTATCCCTTGGAAACCTAAGAGATTTTTTTTTTTAAAAAAAAAAAAACCACAAATCTCTCTACATGCTTATATTTCTTCTCCCTAAAAAGCAATTACTGCTGTGTCTTTACAGGAGCGTGTGACATTAAGGGTTGGAGCATCAAGGTAGTTAAGCAACGGGATGGGCCAATGGTAGTATGGTGTCTATTAATATCAATCCAACAAGAAACATAACACAAATCTCATTAGACATCACTGCTAGCTAGTGCCTACCAGACGGAAGACTTAGGATGAAACCAAATTGTAAAGGTCGTGGTCGTTGGATATCGAACGAGCAAGTGACAGATGACTAACTATTATATGTTACTCGTGTGGTTGCGTTTTAAGACTTGTCCTTCCCTCGTGTGGGTAACAGATATATAGTCTCAATCAATTGACCAAACCCTAATTTGATCTCGATGCCTAATTAAGCTCCTAAACCCCTAGACGAGGATTAAGGTCAACGCAACCATAAACAGCGTTAAAGACAAGGAACGAGTACAAAGAGCCTCGTGAGTCGTCGTGGCCATCCCATGATTTAAATTACTCGAAGACTTTTTCATTTCTCCATATATATGATATTAATCCAACAAGAAACCTAACGACACAAAGTTTGGTGATCTCTTTCTTGATCAGTAGTAAATGATAAAGTATGGTGGTTAAATTTTCAGTTGTGCACGTACCTAATATAACGAAGGAGATGAGTGAAGTGAGAGGAGAAGGAAGGAAAAAAAAAGAAAGAAAAAAAACAGAGAGATCTAAAAAAAAAACAGAAAGGTTTATTATACTCTGTCTTCACCTGTATCTAGTTGTTGTGCATGTGTTGAACTCTGTTTCAGCACAAGTCACGGTTCCAAGTTCTTGCGTAAGACGCTGTGGGAACATCTCCATACCGTTTCCTTTTGGTATTGGAGACGGGTGCTTCCTCAATGATTGGTACGAGGTCCAGTGCAACAAGTCGGTCCCGTATCTGCCCAAAATCAACAAGGAATTGGTGCAAATCGATCTACCGAGAGCATTAGAGCACCGGGTTGAGTCATTTCCTGTTGACTCGTATCCTTTTGACTCGTTTCCTGTTGGATCGCTCCGCATCAAAACCAGCATGACTTCTATGGGGTGTTCTCGCGGCGACGAAGAGAAGTTGGAAGAGGTTTTGTTGAATTTGACGGCTACTCCTTTTTCAGTCGGCAGCAATAACCTACTGATGGCTTTTGGGTGCAATGCCACGGCTACGTTGACCCATATCGACCCTGGAATTGTGGGTTGCGTCTCGACTTGCGATCAATGGAAATACTACTGGCTCTTAGACGACGACACAGGCTGCTATGGCTACCGGTGTTGCAATGCAAGCACGCCTAGAGAGATCGGTGATGTAATTGGTGTGAAAATAGAGAGCGGCTATGGTGGTAATACGACGTGCGTAGTCGCCTTCTTAACAGACGAATACGAGCAACCATCACTGTGGAGCAACAGAACTGATGCGAAAAAGCTTCACGCTACCAAGTATGCTACAATCCAGCTGACTTGGAAAATTATTACGACCAATCTTTCGTTTCAAGAGTGCCGCACCCTAGATTACCACTCTCAATCTAGACCTTGCTTCTGCTATCAATGGTTTAACCCTAATAACGAGTTCTACGATATAAGGTGTGCGTGCACCTCTGGCTACGAGGGTAACCCATACGATCATGATGGATGCAAAGGTCAGTTAATCTCTTCTAATCATAAAACACACTCACACACACCAAAACAAACAATAAATAATAATCCATGACATTTTCTTTTCATACACTATATATATGTAGATATTGATGAGTGTAAAATCCACGAAGATGGTCGTCCCAAGTATTGTATCAGCGGCAAGATTACTACTTGTCAAAATATTCCCGGAAGCTATCTATGCGTAACCCAAAAGAACAAAACCTCCATCATTTATATAGGTACGTACGACTCTCGAACTCCTATCCAGTTTTTTTTTTTTTTCACCCGTATTCTAAAGCTTTTAATTTTTTTTTTTTTAACTAGAATCAGCAGCATGATATTTTAAGACCGCCATAATCTATATCCCGGACAGTAATTTTCTATGATAATAATACCTTTAAAAATTTGCAGTAATACGGTCTATATCTACTTTACATGCAACACGTACACCCCCGTTGATTAAAGAACTTAAATATAATATCGATTATTTATATTTCTATTTTCTTTTTTTTTTCTACAATATTTTTCCCCTAAAACTCAGATAATCAAGTAGAACATATATATAAAGTCATAGAAAGCAAGCATGATTATCATTTCAAAAAAAAAAGCATGATTAAAATCATAATAATAAAAAAAAAACATTGAACCTCTGATATGGACTCCTGTTGCAAATTCTTAACCACGAAAGCAGCAAATAAAATTTTATCTTTGTAAAATTTATAGACATAGTTATTTGCAATATATGAGTTATCAAATAATATATATATAGATATAATTCCATTATGCTTAAATTTATTTTGTCAACGCTTAATTTTTTAATGTTTACCAAAAAATGTTTGTAATGAAAAACTCTATTAAAAACTTAGAATACGTGAATCAAAATAAATTTATTCAATGGAAGAATTTCAGTTTTGACTCAAAATATATGCTCTAAATATTAAACTTCTTTTAATTCCAATTTAAATCGTACTTCATAATTTTAAAATAATGAATCATTTTTTTGGATAGTTTTATCTATGTAATTTGGGATTTATATTTATTACCCTTTGATGTAATACGGAAAATATGAATAGGAAGTTCTTAAAACATGGTAAAAATATGTAAATTCTAATATAAATTACCCTTTGTTTACCATTCGCAAACATTGTGAACTTAAAAGAACTGTCAGAAACATTTTCTTTCTGAAATACCGTTTTCTGGAAACCATTTTGCAAAGTTGTTTTTATTTTGTTGGTTATTAATTAAATAGATATATATACGCCTGTCAGAAAATAATATCTATATTCCTCCATGTTTTGGTTAGCCATAGTCCTAACCAACTCACTATGACGAATACTACCTTCTGATTCTCGTAACATAAATGTCCATATAATTCGATGCAGTACGAACCCTCCCATATATTTTGTGATTCTTAATAAATCATGCACATTGTTTTGTGATATATATATATATATATTTAGATTTATATATATATATATATATATATATTCATATTCAAATTTATATATATATTTAGATTTTTTTTTGTTTGAAAAAGAAAAAAAAAACACATCTTCATATTCATATTGTGATATCATCGTTTATCTTCCCTTGGTCTTTGATGGCTTTGTAGGGGTTAGCGTAGGTTTAGGCGTGTTGCTTGTAGGTGTAGGCTTTGGGCTATACAAATTTATCAAGAAGTATAGAAAGACGAACCTCAGAAAAAAGTTCTTTAAGCGTAATGGAGGTCTTTTGTTAGAGAAACAATTAGCTTCAGGAGAAGAAAGCTCTGTAGAGAAAACAAAAATATTCAGCTCGAAAGAATTAGAGAAAGCTACAGAGAGTTTCAGTCTGGAGAGGGTTCTTGGGGAAGGTGGCCAAGGAACGGTGTTCAAAGGGATGCTCGCTGACGGTAGGATCGTAGCGGTAAAGAAATCCAAGGTTCTGGACGAAGATCAAGTGGAGGAATTTATTAACGAGGTTGTGGTTTCCTCTAAAATCAAGCACCGCAACATCGTTGGGATATTAGGATGCTGTCTAGAGACAGAGGTTCCAGTGTTGGTGTATGAATACATTCCCAACGGCAATCTTTTTGAACATCTCCATAATGAGGACATAATTGTTCCTTGGGGAGTACGCTTGCAAATTGCTATAGAGATTGCGGGAGCGATTTCATACCTGCATTATTCTGCAACATCTCCGATTTACCACAAAGATATCAAGTCCTCGAACATACTCTTGGATGACAAGTCTCGAGCAAAATTATCAGACTTTGGCACTTCAAGAGTGATAGCTGTAGATCACAGCCACCTCACAACGGTGGTTTCAGGTACGGTAGGATACCTAGATCCTGAGTACTTCCAGTCCAGCCAGTACACAGAGAAAAGTGATGTTTATAGTTACGGAGTTGTGCTAGCAGAACTTATCACTGGAGAAAAAGCAATCTCTACCCAACGGCCTCAAGGAAACAGGACTCTAGCTACTTACTTTCTTGTAGCAATGGAAGAGAAGAGACTTGTCGACATCATTGATCCACGAATCAGAGAGGGCTGCGTGTTGGAACAAGTCACGGGAATGGCCAAGATTGCCAAGTTATGCTTGAACTTAAAGGGAGATAGACGACCAACCATGAGGGAAGTTTCACTGGAATTGGAGAGACTTTCCAAGGAGGAAGAAATTGCACAAATCTACACACGAAGAGAGTCGTTAAACATAGATATTGCTTCAACATCAACATCTGGTTCTGCTACGTGGAGTGATGCTCAACCGTTTTTTTCTCGTCAACCATGATGATCAGTACTCGACCAAAATACCCAGACTTTGGGATATAAAATATTGTTTGTTTTTTTTTAAAAAAAATATTATCTGAATTTTGTAATTTTCAGACTTTCAGCAGCACAATTGTTTTTATTCGTACACTCTAATATATGTTTTTCAAATTATTATTATTATTATTAGGTTTCGAGCCCCCACGAAATCGCAGGAGAAATAAGGTATATTAAACTCCTAATTATTTTAAATATTTATAAGTAAACATACATATAACAAACTGTGATGATATTTAGATGTAATTATCCAATTTTTTGAAAAACATAAATATTATTGTAAAAAATAAATAGATATGACTTTCAAAAATATAAAAATATAACGACGAAAAAGTTGTACAAAGCAATTAACACACATATCTATTTGAGTTCATAGTTTACAATTAATGTAACAATGTATAACTTAACATATACATCTATATAAAAGACAATTATACAACTGACATTGAGAAGAAGTTAAACAACGATTATAAGCAATATGATCAATTTTATCGATAGAACTCAATCGTTGATAGATATATTTTTACAATGAAAAATTTTTAAAAACATTATCATGATATGAAATGTTAAAATCTCCGAACGAAGAGAATAAAATTCTAGTACAAAATCATGTATAAAAACAATTCAAATTTTTCATTATTTTTAAAAAATGTAGAAAATATTTAGATTTCAAACCATTAGAAATAGTTTTGATACATTTTTAAGTCAGCATTATCTTTCGGAAATCTAAAATTATCTTGAAATTATAACTTCATATAGCATTGGACATATTATATTGGCTTAACAAATTTTTAATTGTGTGACATTAGGCGTTTTTTAATTTGTTAGCTGTATCAAAAGTATAAATTTGAGAGAACTTTGGTAGCTCACCATCACATAGTGGTACATATCCAATAAGATGATTATTTTCATCATGGACTTTGAAATAATATATCACATATGTATTTTAAACAGAATAAAATTTTAAAATATATGTAAATTAGCTTTCCACAAGTATTTTTTTTTTAAATATTAAATTTAATGACATACTATTAACCAAAGATTGTTGTTGAGAGAAACTTTCTATTTCTATTGAATTTTCAGTATTTATTGATTTTTTATGTTTGTTGCAATCAAAATATTTTTAAAAATTTATTATATCAATTTAATATTAAACTTTTAAACTCTTAAATGGAGGATAACACAATAAAAATTTAAATATTATCAGCCAACTTTTAAAAACATTCTGCATGAGTAAATTTTAAAAAATGAAAAAGCCAATACATAACTAAATTTGATCATATTATTGAATAAATTATACATTTTTTGTTTAAAAATAGTGAACTCATAGATCTTATGCCAATTGTAATAGAAAAACTTGTAACTATAGCAGATACTTCTACTTTATGTTGTTTAACAGGTGAAATGTATGCTTGATAAATAAAATGTTTATCCATCTCTAAATAAAAATAAAAACAAAAAATGTGTCTTATTTGTTATATATATATATATATTTTTTTTAATTTGGTAGAAAGTTGTTTATTCTTAATGAAAAGTTGTGTCCCTTCAATAAGTAATTGTGTCTTTATTTTTGAAAAGATGCAATGATTCAATATTGAAAAAAAAATTGTTTATACTAGGTGAATACCCGCACGTTACGTGCGGGTTTTTCTTTTCAAAATTTTCAAATTTTTTTATATTTTTATAAAAATTAATATAATCATCACTTGTTATTTATTTACTTGTTAATATTTTATTCTAAAAAATTATAAAATATTTATACATATTGAATATTATTTAATAATTTATAAAAATTAATATAATCATCACTTGTTATTTATTTACTTGTTAATATTTTAATTCTAAAAAATTTTAAAATATTAATACATATTGAATATTATTTAATAATTTAAATTTATATTAAGATTAATAAATATCATTAAATATTTTTTAATTAGTTATAACATAAATTTTTGTTTAACATTTACAAAAATATTAATTGATAGTCAATTAATTAAAAAAATAAAATTAATATAATCATCATTTCATTTGTTACTTGTCAGTATTTTATGATAAATAATTTTAAAAAATTAATTTGAAATACATCTTGAATATTATTAAGTAATCTAAATATTATTAAATAAGCTACAATTATATAAAAGTTAAATACATATCTATCAATATTTTTAATTAGTTATAACATAAATTTTGTTTAACATTAATATAAATTTTAATTAAGAGTCAAATAATAAAACAAACTTTTCATATTCTTTAAATGTTTTAAAATTTAATATTAAAATTTATTAATTAAAATTTAAGGACATTTGTCAACTTATCCCATGCTGATGTGTCAATCATATGGAGAAAGTTGAGCAACTTTTATATATAAGATTTTGAACAGTTGCAATGATTTAATAACCATTAACTCAAGAGATGCAATGATTTGTAAATTAACCTTAATTTCAAGAATTGTGATGTTTAGTAAATAACTATAAACAAAAGAGCTGCAATGATTGATAAAATGACCATAATCTCTAAAATTGCAATATTTAGTAAAATAACCATAAACTCAATAATTGTAATGGTTCAACAAAATAACCATAACACTTAAATGTCCCACATTCATTTCCTATTAATATGTAATCATAGATTCACTAAATTACCAACACATATACAAATTAAAAAACAAAAGACATAACCATACAATAGCTAGCAATTATATATAAAAAATACAATTAAAATATATTTAATGGAAAGACACAACCGTTCATTCGAAATTTTTCATATATAGAAAGTATAATTTAAAAAATAAATAAATAAAAAGACAAAATTTTATAATAATGATAACCTTTCAAATTAAATACTGTTATACACAAAATATTACAATTAATTTTAAAATAATAATAAATATATAAAGAAAATGGTTCATTCATAGTTTTTCTTATTGCTATTTTTTTCACAGATTTATGTTTTTTTTTTGGTTTTCCTAGTTTTTTCTTTTGTCTTGAAACTTTTTTTGTGATTTTTCATTTTCTTATTTTCAAGACTAAAATCTTCATCACTTTCACATAAATTGGCTTTTTTGTCTTTTTTTTTCACTTAACATCCAGATCTATTAGTTGCATTATCTACTTTGAAAAATGCAGTTTAATCCCCATTATAGTTTGGTATCTCATGTTTCTTATGTCAAATAAATTATATAACTATTCTACTATAACCAAAAGTAGTGTTACACTTGCATATTTAATAATAAATTAAATTTTAAAATTAGATTTTTAAATATAAATAATAAACGTATAAGATAAAAGATTATGTTGCCTTCTAAAAATAGTGATAAACTTGCCAAAAAAATATCATTTTTTGTTTAGTCCTAATTTTTTGAATTTTCTTTCAAAAATATTTTATGGATATTGAGCTGATGTGAAACCCCCTAATTCAAGTCTTCTTTATTCATGGCTGAATATATTTTTTTTAAAACAAATTTAAAATATAACTAAAAACTCATAGAAAAAATGTTATGTTGTCTTTTAAGATCAGTAATATAATTGCCAAAATAATTACTATTTTAAGTCTAAATTATTTGACTTTCGTTCTAAAAATATTTTCTTGGGGAATGAACAGATCTTTCACGCTCCATTTAAAGTTTTTCTTTATTTATGGCTAACCATCTACTTAAAACAAATTCATCTAACACCATTTCAGTAACAATTGCTTGCAAAAGAACAATAATTTTCTTAAAGAATTCTAAGTTAATTTGACGTTTTGATAACATCGTATTTTGACCACTTTTATGGATCGTTTTGAAATACTTTTTCTATGTTTTTAATTGCTTTTAAGTACTTTTATTACGTTTTTCTAGTATTTGTAGTTCCAAGACTCTTTTCAGGTAACTTAGGGAAAAGCTTAACAAAATGGATAGAAAACCAGATTTCAGCTCAGAGTCAAACCGTCAGAAGTTCACCCCTGATTTAAGGCCTTCTCACCGTCTGATCCAGCTCAAATTTGGAGACCTTAAAGATGGAAGTATCATCTTTCCAGCACACTTTACAGCTTGGCAATCCAACGGTTCAATCAAAAGATACGCGAAGAGCAAGATGTCCCATAAACCAGCCGGCAAGCAATTCCACCCGCGGCCAACATGCCATTTCTCGCGGTCAGAAGCCCTCCCGACCGCGGCATGCCAACTCCAAGCCCGAAGGCCCATTTCTGAAGCCCACAATGATTCCTTCATTTGGAGAAACCCTAAGTGACGTCCTGAGATGTCTTGAGCACTATAAATACATGTTTTAGGAACCCTAAAAGGGAGAACCGAATTATTACTTCATATTTTTCTTATTGTTTTTGTTTTAGCTTTTAGGGAGAGAGAGAGAGAGGTTTGTTCTCTTGAACTCTTGTTCTTTCTTTTTCAATTTCGGTTTCTATTCTACTTATTAATACTATGTTTTTGATTTCGTTCATTATGTCTGAGTAGTTTTATTGTTGGGATTAAGGGATTTTCGATGGGGATTTATATGTTCGATGAGGATTTCATGAGCTTTTGAGCCGAATCTTAGAACTTTTTTTTCTGAATTCGTTTTTACTGCATTAGAGTAGCGTCATGAACTACAATCTGATCCAGATGCTTGGTGACACGAAAGTGTTCATCCGGTGTCAGATCTAGTTTGGGAGAGCAAAACAAACATAGGAGTGACGAGTCTTAAACATAATGCATCTCTTCTCTTCCAGGGCCAGAGTGGAAACCTACTGGTCAGGGTTGAGAGAGATAGTTGTCTATGATCACGACAATGGCGTATTCATACGTCCGTGACTCCAGTTCGAAAAGTTTAAGCTAAGATCTTATAAAATTTACTCTCTAGCAATGTTTTGAATCGTTCGTACCCCTGAGAAAACTTCCCTGAACCCCAACGCCTTCTTTCCTATAGATTCACACCGTTTTTATTTCAAGCTTTAGTTCAATATTCTCATTCCTTTTTAGTAGATTTTCAT